CATTCACTCGGTAATGGTTTTGAGCAACCAAATATACCACGTGAATCACAACGCGGCATAGAACGCGTTACCACTTTGACCCGAGTAAATCGACACTCGGGGCCCACCTAAAAAATAGACCAAACTTGAGGAAAAATTAACCATTTCCAACAATTGGAACACAGATGATAGTAGCAGCAAGGAACAGAAAAAAGATCTGGAAGAGAGAAAGAAGAGTTAGCAGAGAGGGATCAAAATAAATTCCAGGGTCCAAACAAACCTGGCCAAGTCCTATCATACTCCTTCATAGGAGAATAATATTCCGTGACTGAGAATTGATTAGTTGGTGAAACTTCTTTTGATAAGTATCTGTATTCAATTGGAACAATCTACATGGAAACAAACAAATTTCTCAACAGAGAGCAAGAAAAAGAATGCTAAAACCCTAAATATAAACCCAACTATTAAATGAACTATATATATACATAAAGCAGAGTTGTTTCAATAAATTATTGTTCAATAATAGAGAAAATTTGGGTTTCAGCCTGCAACGGCTAACAATTGAGTGCTTTGTATGCTTTATCAGACCAAAACATCCAATGAGCATTCTAAGAACAACAATCATGTTAAGACTATGTTTAGATCTTGGATTTGTTGCGTGAACAGAAATGGTAAGGGAATGCTTTCATTCATTTTCTTTTCCTATCTTTTCACTCCATGAATCCATGATCCAAACACAACATTTATATGGTCATTACCCACTCTCCGTAAGGGTGTCACAATAATTTGTTCAATAGTGTGTGATACTAGTAAATTCTAATGATCATAAGAAAAATATTTCCAAGATAGCATGTGCAAAAATAGCCAGTTTTATTTTTCTTTTAGCTAGTCAACACTGAGGACAACACAATGATCATTTAAGCAAGGGTCCCCTTGCACAGCAAGATCTGGAGCACATATGTGCAGAAAAAATGCACCAGCTATCTTAAAGAAGGTGCATATTGGAAACACCAAAAGATAAATCAACAATTTATCAAAGAAAGACCAGGAATCAAACCTTTATGTAATATTTGAATGTTCCACTTGAACCACGCAGAATCCGTGAAGTCTCATCAAGTGGGTTGTGAATTCCGGGATATTTTGGCCCAAATGATAAATCATGAATAATATGGCTCACATTGACATGAATGGGCCCTTCACTTATCTGTTGGACAAAAAAAAAAAAAAAAAAAAAAAAATTTGGGCTTTGTTTGGTCTAACTTAAAAGTTAGAAAAGGATGTTAACTTTTATTGTTAATTTTCAGTCGTTGACAAAATTGTACCAAACATGCCTTTTCCAATGATTAATGGTGTTAACTTTTGTTAACTTTTTTTTGTTTTTTGAGAATATTTTGTTTGTCTTTTTGATTAGCTCTCCATATTTGAATTTCAAACTATGTGAAGCCAAAGAGTGAACACCCTCAGAGCATTTCCAATAATTGTGTCATTGCTTATACTAAAGTCAAAAAAATGACTTGGCTTCATAAAAGTTAGTGTTCTAGCGATGTACCATTGCTCTACCTACAAAAACTATCAAAGCCACCTTGCTGCCAAAAGTTGAATCTGATTAGGTTGGGCTAGCTGAAATTATCTCAATTTTTATGATTTTAACACAAAATAGTTGAATTTAGCAAATGATTTAAAATGGCAAGTCTCCATTGGAGTGGTGTGGTCAAAAATTGACTTTTTTGGCTGTAAGAAGTCAAAATATTGCTTTGGCAAAGCCATTTTGACTTAGACCATGGGAGATGTTCTCACTTTGAGACTAGCAAAAAGGTGAATGTTAAGGTTTCTTTTAAAATAGGTTAGTTTAAATCTGAAGATCAAAAAATTTAAAGGGTTTACAGGACTTATTATGAGTTTTATTTCGATAATTTAAATTGTTCATTTTGTAAGGTGCTCAGTATATATCATCTATGAAAAAATTAAATCGATCCGATAATTGTAAAATTTCATTTTATCAGGGTTTTTTTTTTTTTAATGGACAATATATACCTTTTATTTTTTTGGAGGCAAACACTATCCTATTTTTAACATACTTGTCATTCATTTTTTCGAAGACAAAAATGATAAAATTAAAAATGTTACGATTATTAGATCGACTTAATTTTTTTTATAAATAATATACACTGAATATTTTACAGAATAAAAATTTTAAATCTTTGAAATGAGACATGTACTCGGGCCCGCCACGGGCCCCTCAACTCTAGTTTTCTCGAGTTTGTATTTGAATTTGAGAAAAACATAAACCCCTAAAATAATTTTCAAATTGAGATGTGTACTTTGTTGATGCTTTTTAAAGTAAAATATTATTGTTATATCTAATATTTAATCATCAATTTTTATAATGTGAAATCACTGACTTGTATTATGTGGATTAAATATTAGAGAATAATTTTTTGATGACAACGAGCTTGTAGATGTAAAGTGATTTTTTGATTAAAATATAAAGTAAAAAAAAAAATTGATATGTTTAAAAATGATTTTTTTTAAAATTTTTTATGAAAAATTCACAAAAAAATAGAATGAATGGGAAAGAATCTTCCCAAAGGAGGCCTGAGGTTAGAAAAGGAAACAAGGCCCAAAAAAACAAAAAAGATGAGAGAAAAAGAAAACAAGCCCCTCTACCCCAACAAAACAAAAAAAGGGACAAGAAAAAACGCCGTTGCCGGGGATCGAACCCGGGTCACCCGCGTGACAGGCGGGAATACTCACCACTATACTACAACGACAACTCCCATTTTGTCATTGTTTCTCTTTAATTTCTTTTTATTTCTTTTTGTTTATGCTTTCAGGCCCATTATAGCCCAGTTCATTGTGAGGGCTTAATGAAAAGTAGTCATGCCTTCCAAATTCTTTTATATATATATATATATTTTAAATTTTATTTTAAGAATGGCTTGTACTCTTCTACCTCGTCCCTCTGTTTTAAATTTCCTCTCTGTAATAATGATATAGATTTGTAGCTGAGTGAGAATCATTTGTCCCTTTTTCCTTATGCATCTGTTCTAGGTTTCCTCATTATCACGTAATTAGAGGTTTGAGAAGATAGGCCGATTTAGAACAAGAGAGAAGGACCATGCGATTTATACTTTATTGTTTTTTGAGAATTTCTCTTTTGAAATCTAACAAAATATGAATTATCCTCAATCAAGCACTCTAATCATTTTTATTTTTTTGAAATGTCCAACACTGACCCAAAAAAAAAAAATTTATAGAAACAGACACAAAGTATAGTGGCATGATAGTGTGCTTTCTATGTTTTTCAAAGGCATGACTCCATTGTTTGACTTATCATGCCATTGTGTTCTCTTTGTGTACGGTTATTTGAAAAGATCTAAATAAACAGTGACGGAGTTAAAAAATTAAATTAAGAGGCATTTATTAATTATAATATCAAAAAATTTTACAAAAATATTTCACGCAAGTTTTTATTATTGATTTTGAGAAATATCAAAAAAAATTTATAACTAGTGTATCATAGACAACATAAAAAAATATGGATGTAAGTCTTAAAATAAATTATAGGGTAAATTACAAATATACTCTCTGAGGTTTGATTAAAGTACAAATCATCCCTTATGGTTTTGGAAATTACATTCCACCTCCTGAGGTTTCTAATTTTATAACAAATTGCTCATTTTATTAATGAATTATCAAATCAATTAATAGTTTTTAATGATATTAAAAATATGTTTCAATTAATAATTCAGGTAATTTTATTATTGTATAGAAGAGATATTATGAATTTTATTTTTTTAGTTAATTTTGTTAAATAAAAAATACTAATAAGAAGGTATTTGTAATTTTTCAAACCACATGGAGCAATTTGTATTTTAAGCAAACCTCATGAGGGTGTATTTGTAATTTACCCTAAATTATATAATAAATTATTTTTTTATACAAAATTTGATTAAAAATTCAATATAATGGTAATACCACGTCATCATTAGTATGTGATATCACCAACTAACAGTAAATAAATATATAGAGAGTGAACCTCACATCACATGTCAAATGTAACTAACAATTCAATAAATTCTATATCTTTATACTGAGATTACTTATACTTGCATGTTAATAATAATGATATCACTGTTGTATTCAAAATTTTTCGTAAAATTTTCATAGATAATATGATTTATAGTAGTCACTTCATTTTCAATCAAAACAATTATTATTGTTCTCATAATTTTTAAAATGTCATTTAACATTTCACTCAAATAATATTTTTATAATTTTTTTATTTAAAATATTTTCTTTATATTTGTAAAAAAAAAAATTCAAAATTCAGAGAGTGCACGTGACCCCCCCCGGATCCCTAAGTCCCTCTGCCAGTGTAAATAAGTATATTTTTTAATTTTTTATAAAAAGATGTACAGAAAATAAAAAGATGAGGTAATCTAAAAAAAATAAAAAAAAATACACTTATATAAAACACCCCAAACAAAGCCGTTTTTCTTGATTGATGGGACCCAATTCAATCTAACGAACAATTTCAGTTTCAAAGGTTCATTTTGTCCAGTTTTTCAGATGCACTTGGGCCTCATACATTTGTTCGTTTTCATAAAAGTGGAATCTATTCCAAAGTGTTCAAAAAAATTGAAAACAAAGCAAAAATGTTTCCTTGTTCTTTCAAAACAAATTTTCACACCCTCCTTCCTCCGAAGACTATCGCTTCAACAAAATCAAGCAAAGAATGACAATTTTGCCGTTTATTACACTTTTGTATAAATACACTCTGAAATCCATATTCTAATACTCATTAAGAATCATGTCATGTATAATTTTATATACTCGAGAAAAATTTTAAAATATATTTATAATAAAGTGGGGGTAGGAATAACTTCTTTTGTTTTCTTTTGCGACACCACTCATTATGCTATAGCTCCACTTAAGACAATATAAATCATTTTTTTGTCATTTCGCTCTATTAAGAGCTATGTACAAGCAGAGAACACAAAAGAGCCTAAATACCAATATTAAAAATGATTCTTCAATAGCAACTTTCCCTAGCAAAGTGGCACAACTGTTTCGAGGTAGTTTATGCTAATCACTGAGATACAAATCCTGATAACAGATAAGCTTGATTGTGAAATTTGTTTGATCAAGTTTACAAAGTAGTAGCCAAGAACAAAAAGATCTCGGCATATCAGAGAGCATTAAATTTATATACAAGTGAACATGAATACCAGTTAATCATGCTAAGAAACGGAGTAACTAACTTCCCGGTTTGTACAGAATCCAGTAGAGTACCAGCAGTGGGTGAAAAAGGCAAAATAGATGCCATAGTTTCTTCATGCTTGGAAAGGCTTCATATAGTTTTCTCAACACTGCATGCTACGATTCTGTCAGCGACTCACCCTGTCTCAATACAAGCAGTGTCAGTTAATCTTTAGGATAAAACAGATTTAGAATACTAGGGTTACACAAAGTGTTGTTTTGTTCACTGATATAGGCTGTATTCATTAGTTGTCGGGTATATAAAATGGAGGACGGAAGGAAAACCAAAGACGATGGAGAAGAAAACAAAAAAGCAATTGGAAGCCAGAAGAAACACCCAATGCTCTACTAGCTAGCAAACATGTAAAACAGTTACTTGATTATGTATTTTATAAATTTTTCTTTTTTCTTCTTGTTTTTAACAAAAGGAATTACACAAACACATTCACATAAGGGTCAAAGAAGTCCAAACCCACACGCACACACACACCAAGAGGGCCTAACTTTTGGAGTCATGGTGATTTTAAGACTCACTTGGGTGAGATATCTTGAGACTAACATCAGACTGGACATTCAACTATGTAGAAAAATAAAATCCAATAACACATTATCACAAACATACAACAAAGTACAAACCCAACAATCATATGACAAGAAATACTTCAAATGAATGAGGTGTACTAGGGCTCTTGGCAAATTACTAACCATGTTGGTTAGCTAACGTGGAACACATCAATTTGTAGGTAATTCTGAAGGAAATGAAGCCACAGAAATTGTTTTATACCATTCTTTTCCAATGGGTTTCAAAGAGCAAAACTTGTTTGATAATTTGTTGATATAAAAAAAGAAAAAAAAAAAAGAAAAAAAGAAAAAGACAAAGAAAAAGAAGAGAGACTTTATCGATTAATAAAAATTACATGTACTCAGTGTGAACAGTGGCAACTAAGGTGTAGCAACCAATGGTAGATCAAGAAATTCAATTGTAAAAATCCCCTATATCAATATCGCTTACTACAAACATAAATTTTATTGAAGCTTCTAATACTACTACAAAATATTTAGAAAATCAAAAGAAATCAAATTTAAAACTATATTTTATTTTTAAAAAAAGGTATATTTTTTGAATTTTCTAACTGTTATAATCTAAGAAGAGCTAGAAGGGGTGGTGTTGATGTCAAAAATGTTTTTGTGGTTTACTGGTTTTAGAAATAAAACACTTTAATCTCAAGGGACATTGATTGTAAATTGTAATACTTTATGATTGAAGATGTTAAAATCTAAAATCAATTAACGCACTCAGTGAGATAGAGAGTTCACGCAAGCATTCACACACATGAGCCAAAGGATTCATAGTGGGAAAACCTTTCCCACTAGAAGGTAAAACCTTTTCCACTCATTAACCAAATCAAGTACAAGATTTAGACCAAGATCCTCCCTACTCAAGCCCAAAGCAGTTCTATAGTCCAATCTTCCAATCTGTCCGATTTCTTTGAACTCTTCTACCTTGCTTCTCCACTAGTACGGCACAAATCCCACAATCACAATCAACTAACAAGCCTCGAGATTCACATATCCTATTTAACTAAAAGCCTATTTCTCCACTTCAAGAGAAGTTTCCTGACACTTTCAAAAGTCTTACATTTTCACTCCCCCGAAAATCCACATCACATATAAGGAGGTTAGCAGGCCTTTTTCCTCTTCCCAACTCTACCCTACGTTACACGGACTCGGGTGCCGGTATCAGGTACGGGTGTGTATCTAAGGGTCGGACACTTTAAAATTAAAAATTAAGGATACGTGGATATGGATTCAAATTAGGATACGGGTACGGAGATACGTTAAATAGTTATTTTTAAATATATTTATTATATGAAGATGAGTTTAAAAAGTTTAAGGAATAACAAATTTTATTAAAAAAAATAACAAATAAATAATGAATAAAAATTATAAACATTATTTTAGACATAAAATAAATTATATTATATATGATAAAATAAATTATTTTAATTTTAGACATAAAAGTTATGTTATTTATGATATATTATATTATATAATATTTTTTTGAATAAATAATATTATATTAATATAATTTATATTATATATAATTCAAGTTATATTAAAAAGAAAAGTCAGAGAGAGACTGATCAAAAAAGAAAAGAGAGAGAGAGAGAGAGAGAGAGAGAGAGAGAGAGAGAGAGTGACAAAGAGACTTCGCAGATCAAGCGACGAAGAGAGTCCGAGATTGAGATCAAAGGGGAAGACGACGGAGCACAGTACATCGACTTCGCAGATCGATCAACTTCGTAGATCAGTCAACTTTGCAGATCGATCAACTTCACAGATCGATCGATGCTCTGCAACCGATTGAAGTTGAAGGCCAGGTTCTCTCTCTACTCTCTTCTCTTTTGATTCTTCTGCCGTATCCGTTTCTAAGGAGCCGTATCCCGGCTGTATCCCACACCCGTACCCGTGTCATGTCGTGTCGACACAGGTACCTTCGAAATTCCAAAGAGTCCGTGTAACATAGACTCTACCACATGTCTAACTATACATGTGATCACACACACTCCTATGAAAGACCCAGAGCATCTCAAACAACTCCAAAATCAACTCGCAAAGCATTCTAGCCGATGGCAATGAACAAGAGGATGATCAACGGATTCTCCATCTTACTTGCACAAAGACAACCAACTAACAAAAATATGGTATGAAAGTATCTTCCCCTAAGTCGCAACCCGAACAGAAAACCCCCACCATTGATGGATCATTTGGCTGCCAAAACACTCTTCAAGGAACATAGGCCTTGTTTGGCAAGTGGGTTTTGGGCTATTTTTTGGCTAAAATTCACAAAAAGACGAAATAGACTAAAATAGCTAATAAGACAAAATGTCACCCATAATCATTTCACTTTTTCTTTTACAAACATCATATCCAATTACAAAAAAATCCAATTATCTTCTCAAACACAAATTTTAGCCTATTAAAATAGCCAAAAACTAAAATAGCCTACTAAAATAGCAACTTCCCAAACACCCAAATAATGCGGTCTTACATCTCCTAAAATATACAAGTAAATAAAGATATATTGTGTATGTTATGTAGGAACTACAAATGACAGGGAATCTGTTCCCTTCTTCAATTATCATATACTATTAGGCCATGTTTGTTTGGATGGACTGGATTAGTATTCCCATGACTAATAGTCCTAGGATTACGAATCCCTTGGATTATGTATCCTATCTTAACTAATAGTCAAGTTTAAAATAATTAGTCCGTACTTCAATTGTTTAACCAAACATCGGATTAATAATTTTATTGGATTATTAGTCCAATCCCAAGCTCACGTCCACCCAAACAAACATGACCTTAATGTACTTGCGTCTAACAATATGTGTGACAAGGGGGGTGTTTGTTTGGATTTTTTTGAGCCAACTTATAGCTTCTAGCTTTCGAAAAGCTATTTCGGACTGTTTGGTTAAACTTATTTCAAATAGTTTCTGATTCTAACAACTTATTTTAACTCAAAAAAGATAATTCTGAGAAGGGTTTCTGATTCTAACAACTTATTTTAACTTAAAAAAGATGATTCTGAGAAGTTGCTCACCCCTTATTTCTGATTATCAACTTCTGCTGTGGACATGTTAATTTATGATTATACTCTTAGATTTTTTTATTTTTTTATTTTTTTAAAAATAGAAAAAGACCCAAATAGACTATAGACTATTATTATTATTTTTTTTAATGAGAAATGTGGACAAGTAGTGAATAACAAAAAAATAAAAGTTAATTGAAAAAACTACTTCACAGCTTATTTAACAAATACTACTCAGCAACTTAAATCTATAATCTAATAGTTACACTAAGCAGATTAACGGTTTCTGATTAAAGTCATAATCTATAATCTGTTAAGTTATAATCTATAATCTGTTTTAACAGCTACACCAAACGGAGCCAAGGACATAGTCTACAGCCATTATCCATACACTTATGCATGTCTTACCCAATGCAAAACCATGTTTAGCAATCCCAAACGACCCACACATAGCGCTGCAAACGAACCAAGCTGTTCGCAAGCTCAACTCGTTAAGGGCTCGGCTAGGCTTGGTTCGTTAAGTAAATAAACAAGCTCAAGCCAGACTTTTATGCTCGTTTAAACGAGCCAAGCTCGAGCTCGAATAATCTCGGTTTGTTTATTTTTATTTAAATTATAAAATAAATATATTATTTATATATTAAACAATATATAAAAAATATGTATAAATAATAAGGGCAAATTACAAAAAAAACCCTAGGGTTTAGTGATTTTTGCAATTTAAACCCCAGGGTTTTAATTGCATCAATTTGAACCCTAGGGTTAACCATAAGTAACGAACTTGGGGTATTTTGGTCAATCAACTACCTATTGACTGTATATATTTTATATATATATATACAATATATTGAGAGAGAACAACACTGGAGTGGTTGGGCCGATCGGAAAGGGTATGAGTCATGTCGGAGTGAGAGAGCAAGGGAGAGAAGCCACCGGAGAAAGGGTTTGCCACTTTGGGAGAGTTTTGGAGTAGCAAGTAACGTTAGAAGGGATGATCGGAGATCACTCCTCCTTGCCTTAGATCGTCAAAAATCTCCATTCACGACAAAAGAAAAGAAATGAAAGAATAGAATGACAACAATGCTGACCGAGATTAACGAACGATCGCGTCACCTCCACAATCACTTCTTATTTTGCTTCTCACTCACTCCAACCCCCAAATCTCCATAGACGAAATGAGAAAAGAACAGAGTAACAACGGCATTGGCTGGAGGTTCACAAAATTCCCTTCCGACTGCAGCTGCCAATTTACTTCTTTCTCTTTCTTCTCTACCTACCATTACAGCTTCCCATCAAATTCTAAAGGGAGTTCGTTTTTTATTTTGTAGAAAAGAGAGATTCGTTGGGGTGTAGCCCCTCCTCCTCCTTCTCTTCTCCCGCCATCCACCACCGCCGCCCTCGCCTCTTCTCCCCATCTCCTCTTTCTGCTCTTCTTCTTCCACTCCTAAAACCTTAACCCTAGATCTTTATATTATATATATATATATATATTTTGCAATACATGTAAAGTAGTAAGAGGAGAGAAAAGCGGCAGCAAAAGATGGGACTGAGATGGATGTGTGCATCCCCAAAGGAGGAGAAAGAGGATGTGTGCATCCTCCAAACGTCGGCCGGAGATGGCGCTGGCAGAGTGAGGCACTGAGTGCGTTTGTAGAGAGAGAGAGAGAAGAGGTTGATAAGAAAGAGATATAGAGGGGTTTTGATACAATGTGCTCAAGTGTGGTAAATTTATGATGAATGGCTTTGATTTAATGTATGACAAATAAATGGTGGAATTGATATGATGTGTTAAAGTTCAAATTTATTATTATATTGAGTAAATGGGCCAACGCAAAAGTGCCACATGTGTACTACAAATTTTCTTCCATCAACCAAGCTAACAGAGATAGACGGACGGTTGAGATTGTGACAAAAGTAAAAGTTTTGGATTCAAATTGATGTAATTAAAACCCTGGGGTTTAAATTGCAAAACACGCTAATAATAATTTCATTATCGAGCTTCAATTCGAGCTTGAGCTGAAAAATCAAACTCGATTAACAAACGAGCCGAACTCGAGCCCAGCAAAGCTCGGCTCGACTCGTTTGCAGCCCTACCCACACATTAGTTTATTGAACTTTAAGTATGTCTGTAACTTAGTCTCAAACAACATCATCAAGCAGAAAGAGTTTAACTTCAATATCCGTCAAAGTGTCAATAGCAGGATTCAAGAGACAACAAAGCACTTAAAACCTAAGAAGCATGGACACTTCTAAGAAGGTGACGTATCCGTGTCAGACATCGACACTCTTTGAACATTTCCTCAATATGTGTCGGACACTCTTCAAAACATGTCCTATTTTTTAATTTATTTTAAAGACCTGGATACTTTTCGGACACTTAAAGGACACACGTGTTTATCATTTAAACACACGTGTCTATAGATTAGACACAGGTGAAACTAATTATAAATTTAAACAAAACAACTTAGGATAAAATAATAAAACAAAAACTATATAAATTTATACGAATTACTGTTATATTGCATTCTTTATTATCTTTGAATGATATATTCATATATATAACATATAATAAATATATAAAATTATATATTTATACGTGTCTCTCACATGTCGTATCCTACATTTTTTGAAAATTGACAGTGTCGGCGTATCCAAGTCGTCTTGTCATCTCGCGTGTTCATGTCTATGTCCATGCTTCTTAGCTCAAAGCTAAAATTTTACCTAAGAATATAGTATTTATTTTGGCCGTTTCCTTGTCAACTTAGAAATATATTAAAATGAAAATTTATAAAATATGTGTTCATGTACCTGATTCCTCGACCACTTAAGTAATCTTAAGACCACAGAAAGCATCACCTTCATGCTTCACCTGTGTAGATTGCCTTTCATGCTCCACCCGCTGAAGCTGTGATGACAATTGAAGCAAATCAACAGTTGGTCCATCATCACAAGAAAGACAGTCCGTGCCATCCATGTATCGTGACCCTTGGAAATTCCCATCAGCGAAGTTGACAGCATCACCGTCATCCGAAATTAGCATGGGGTCAAATTGATTCCCCTCTGCAGAATTCATGCCAGTGGAATTAAACTTATGTGATACTCCACTTGTTGAAGCCTGAGGGCTCATCCCGAAGAGTTTTCCAGAGACTTGAGTGTAATGCGCATGGCTTCCAGACACGTTCGGGGGTTGAGTCATTGGAATTCCAGATGAATGACTCGAAGAATTCTGTGATTGAGATGACAGAAGAGAGAGAGCACGCCCAGGGGCCAACATCCCTGATAACCCTTGAACGGTTGATGCAGAATCAAAAAGAATAAAGTCTTCATTTCCTAATGAAGTGTTCTGGATCAAAGAACCTGAACCAGAGTTTGGGGCGCCCAGGTCAAGTGGGTTTCGATTACTGTTCTCATTAAAGTCTCTTCCTGGTGCTGAATTAACTCCATTGGCATGAAAAGAAGGGAAATTTTTCTCAAACTCATAAGGGAACGGCGATTTTGGATGTAGATGTCCATTTGTTGTGATGGGAATTTCTGATTGAGGACAATAATCGGCTCCATCTTCATTTTTTATGTGCCTGTTCCAGTCATTCGTGTCATATTTCTGTGGATGCAGAATGTTGCCGGGGAGTATATCTTGGCAAATAAAAGATGATGTTGTTAGTGTACTCCCCTGAAACCTGTTACCTGCAGAACCTGCTTAATGTTATGAAAACATTAAAAACTGTAGTTCCCAGAAGGAATAGGAAGCGAAGATCTCGAAAAACAAATTCCCAAAAATATTTGAGTTATAATATACGAGGCCAAAAATACTGCAAGCAAGCCAGAAAAGATTAGAACAAATCTAAGGAGATAAAAGCAATACAACTTAAAAAAACGAGGGCCACAGTCTATGTAATTTAGATGTAACTTTGTTATCTATAGATTCCATACATATAGTAAATCAATGAGAAAATGTAATAAAATAAGGAAAGTCTGCTGTTTAGAAAATGAAGTCAAATATATTCATAGATTCAATCATTCAAGGAAGTTATTATGATGAATCGCCATGCAAGCACCCTACATCTCTCTCTATATGTTGTGTGATGTTTCCAAGTGTTTGATAGTCTCAAAGCTGCAACCTAAGTTGAATATTCATCCCGACAAAGCCTTAAATGCCAACCAGATGGGAAAGACAGAATAATGTGATATTTTGATTAATGGTTTTCAAAGAATTCTCAGTAATTCATAGAAAAATAAACCATTTTTTCTTTTGTTTCAAGTAACAAAACTTTTTTTAATTTTTTTTTTTTATGATATAGTTATTTGTAACCTAAATAATTGCTAAATAACCTCATTTCTGTTGCAGAATTATCTACTTTTAACATAGATAACTCCTCACCACTTCGACATCTTTTATAAATATGATGTATTGGTATCTTTAACTGGCCAAAGAAATTGTGTCTGATACTTCATTGATTCAAGATATTTAATTATCATGGCGGATGGTACACTTCGGAAAGAATGAAAAGAATGACAGGTTGAAGAAACTTCATCCAAAACTACTGTCCTGTCTTGCCTAGTTAAAAACAAAAAATACGAAAAAAAATACGGATAATACTGTCTCATAACACATAAATGACTCCCTTGTATAACTGCCATTGCAATCAGGGCCCAATTACTCAAGGCCCCCCTCCTTGCAGGTTTGAATTAAAGTGACCTTCACATGGTGCATCAATTACACTGAAAAATGTCCAAAATTGTTTCAGAAAATTTATTAGTGTGTATGGTGTGGTACGTGCCAACTATCTATAAGTTTGTACTACTTTTCTTGGGTAATAGAATATGGAAAATTCATTTCTTTTTCAATTTTCCAACTCTGATATCACAAAGCGTTAATATTGCATTAAATACGCAAAGCAAGGCCAAACAAACACAAAATTGTATTTGATTGTATTACCACCATATCTTGGTTCATGTATCCAATAACCATCATAATGAACTCAAAAGACCTAATACTTTCGTAGCGGAAACACAGTCAATTTCCTGTCATTTTGGAAAGACCAGATTACTTTTTTTCCCCAAAAATTTGAGAGGACAATGATGGTCCCCAGATAATTAATAGCCAGGTAACAAATTATTTTCCAACATGTATACTTGATTGAACAACGAATTATGTTAGCATTATTACAGAAAAAAAGAGATAACAGGTTTAATCAAACTAACTTGATTGCCCAGATTTTAATTAAGTAGAGAAAGCAAAAGAAGGGAATGTATGTTAATACCAATATATGACGGAAATAACCTCCCAGTTCTTCCAGAGTGAACATGAGGTTTCCTTCGACGCTCGTTGTGGCCTGCAAGACGTTTACGACAGCTGCGTTTACCATCATCGAATTCAACCAGCAAATGGAACCTGCAAAATCAGAAGCTAAAAGATATTATGTCCACAATGCAAATTATGCCATTCTTACCCAGCAAGCTTGAGACCAACATGGTTAAAATGCAAAAAAAAGTAACCATGCATGATAGAGCAGTAATAGGTAGGAATGAATCAAATAATATATTGTGATAAAATAATGTTGAGTTTGGATAAAAGTGGAGTGTGAATATTCTTATGCGTTATCTTTCCATTTCTTCATTTGGGTCTCATTTAATAACACATTGTAATACTCAAAGTATTAGATTTATGTATGAAATAAGGAACCTACTGTTAAAAAAACATGAAACGACAGATCTGGTTTGAAGGCATATAATTAGCTTTCCCGTAACAGAAATTAAAAAGGGATCTTCCCAAAGATAGGGAAACAAAGACGTAACAAACATAAACAGTGATTGCCAAGAAGAAATGGAATAGAAATGAATTGTTTGAAAGCTACAAGTTGTTCTACGATTGGATATCATAAGATTCAAAACTTTCCTTCGATTTTCCTACTGATTGATGCAAATAAATGGCGCATAAAGGTTAACGTTTAAAAGGAAACAAAAATCAACCTGCTACATTGCTGACAAAACCTTTGTTCAATGCCATTCACAATAACTTTGGCAGTCTTTGAGTGAACCTCGCAAACTTTGTGCCTCTTGTGGTAGTCCTTAGAGGAGCTCAAATCTTTCTTACAACCATAAACCTGGCAAAACGGCGTGTGAGTACTCGTACCCGCTCGGACCCTCTTTGCAGGCGTAGACGACTCCGCTGAAGACAGCATAGGGGCTGCCTTAGAGGATTTGAAGTTCTGGGGATCTCTGTGATCACCCAACCTCCCCAATTTCAAATCAATGAGCGATGAATCGCGGCTGTTTGATTCCACAACAGAGCTAGAAAACTTTGAACTCGATTCGTCCTCCCCAGAAAATGCATTTGTTGTAGATGTAATTGGTGTACACATTCCTTCACCAAAAAATCTACAACCTGAAACATCTTTAACTGAGTTATTCAGAGGCCTAGATTTTCTCATGGTTTCCGGGAAACCCAATTCCACAAACCCCTGATTCTCAATCCCGCCTTCACTGGTTGTGACTACCATATTATTATCATAACTACATGGGGTTTTCAATTCCCATCCCATCAAACCATTTTTCCCTCTCCCAATCACATCCGTAGCAGAAATAGATTCATCAGATACAAAACCCTTCCCTTCAGAAACATAGCTCCAAGACTCCATTAATTGTAACAAAGAATCACAATTCTACAAATTACATACAAAATCACCAAACTAGTAAGCAAGAAATCCTATCTCTTCTACAATTTTACTCAGTTACAAGGTAGAAACGAAATCTCAATCAAACTTACCAAACACTGAACTCACTGTGCACTAGACTTTACCCACCAAGATTTTTCTACTTTTGAGACAAAAGCTTGTGTGAACCTCAATTTCTGAGGAAACCCATAAAGGAAATTCCAAAACCCATAAACAAAACAGCACAAACTTTAAAAAATGAGCAAAAACATATGCAAATTAAACCAAGAAGTACTAAAGAAGTAAAGAGAGAAGCTAAAAAAAATTGGATGCCTAGCTTGTGGAAGCCAATAAGAAAAAAAAGGGGAAAAAGAGCACTCAAGATAGTGAGTGAAAAAGTTATTCAGAGAACGAAAGAAGAAAAAGAAATGGAAAGCTGCCCAAAAATCGAAAATGATGAGACAGAGAGAGAGATTGTGCTTTACCAAAAGATTATTATTATTCAGGTGGAATGTGAAGTTGGAGGAGAGAGAGAGAGAGAGAGAGGACTGAAAGTGAAAGATTTATGAGTGTGTCCTCGTTCCCAACTCCATGGGAGATAGCTTGTGGTTTCCCTTTTAGAGAGAGAGAGAGAGAGAGAGTTTTGTTTCACCTTTGCTTAGCGAGTAAGGGAACTGCTATTTCCAAACCTTTTTCCTGGCTTAAAAAACAGGGGCAATTTCACATACTACATAACTATCAATGCACTTGTTTAAACAAATATAATCGATATATTTAGCCTCTGTTTGGAGGGTTGGTTTTTGGCTTTTTTTAATTTTTTTGATTATTTTAATCTGAGCTTAAAAGTTTGGTTTGGAAAGGATTTTTTGACTTTTTGACTTTTTTGAGTTTTTTTTGTGAGAGAAGAATGTAATGATTATGGGTTGGATGTGATGTTTTGTTTGTTATGACTAAAATAACCTATTTTGTTTTTTGTGGCTAAAATAGCCAAAAAAGCCTACAAACCCACTTGCCAAATACAGGCTTAATATATAAAAGATTTTTATTTTTAATTTTTTGATTTAATTGATTGATTATAATGATATCAAAATTTTGATTGATTTAATCTATGTATATTTAACCGATATATATTTAATCGATATATCAAAATTTTGATTGATTTAATCGATATACATTTAACTTTTGAAAAAATAAAAATTAATTTAATGAAAATAAAAATAATCACTCATTTCATAATTGTACATGGAGTAAATATTCCGGTAAGTCCATACTCCTTTCTTCTAAGCTCCTGCCTGTCCGATCAACTTGTAAGCATAACGGCGGTGAGCTACCCGGCGGTGTGTGGCCGGAATATCCCTCCGACGATCAAGTTAGACACACACAGGGATAGAGAGAGAGAGAGAGAGAGAGGATTGAGTGTTTTGTGTATATCTCACCAAATGTTCATCCGTTTAGCATAGGGGGCGCAGACTCGCTTATACCTTCTGCGCCCCAAATCTACTCCCATTAGTCTCTCGACACGTGGTGCTGCTATCTCATCTGTCAGCACAGATCTAGCTGAACATCACCTAACCAAGCTGCCAGCCCACACTACTGGGAGCTCGACAGCCGGGCTGCAGCATCTCGGCTGCCAAAGGCCGTGCTGTGTTGCTAGCCAGAGCGCTCCGCCCGCCAAGCTCAATGACGACCGAGCTCGGTTGCATTCCGACATAGCCGAGCTCGGGACAGCTCATGCTGGTTAGCCGTCGGCCTTCCTGCCGGGCTAACCCACGAACCGTGGAACCTAGTGAGGCAGCGGACATCTCGGCCGAACCATCACTCGACCGGTCTCTGCACCCTGAAGCCAAGTAGCTCGGTTCAACCATGCCTTGCCTTAACCGAGCAAAGCCTTCCTGGGCAGGCCCATGCTACCACGGCCCAACTGTGTTTGGCCCAAATCTGCCCGATCATTACCACGGCCCAATCCAGATCATAAATCTCCCTCTCAATTGCCCCTTAATTCCGTCCGCGCAAGCGTGACTGAGATTACTTATTCAGACCGGGTTAACTCTTCCTCGGTACTCAGTTTGCAAGCTGATGACTGGGCTAGTTGACATGCCTGTCTTCAAAACTTGCTCAGTCGACGCCTCATCTTGCCCTCCTGTCTCTTTAACTCTGACGCTGCCATTTCTGGGGACACGTGTCTCTCACCTATTGGCCTCGAGCAGCCAACCATCACGTCCATTCACATCCGAAACTTTTAGCGCTCTTTCACCTCTACAAACATGCCATAACTTACTTCATCTCGATCTTACTGACTCTCCTGCATTCCAGTTGTTCCAGAGCTCCTGTGCCTCTTGCAAGCTTCGTTCCTGCCCTCCCTTGCATTCGTGTTCGAAGAACAAGCTCTTGCCCTTAACTGGTAAGTCCTTCGAGCCTCCTTTTTGCTTATTTCATTTGATATTTTACATTTTAGGGCACTAAATCCGTAGGTTTTAGGATATACCCCCCCTAAAAACCCTCTCTTGCCCCTATTCTCTTCGATGTTCTTTAGTCCCTGTGATGAACACGTGAGCACACCAAGAACTGGAGCAGACTGGGCTCCAGGTCGCTTTTTGATCCAAAAAACAATTAGACCGAGCAATTTACAAGTTTGCCAAAACCTTAGTAGAAACTGAGGTAGACAGAGGACTTGGCCGCTCGACCGGGCTAACAACTAGTCTGCTTGAGTGACCGAGCTCCTTGGTTTGCCTTTGCGACCAATGTGGTCTGGTGCTCTTTATGACAGGGCTACAGTCAAGCTCGTTTTACGCGACCGCACTTCCACTTACACTTGCCATTATTTTCCTGTAGAGTCCAAGGGGACCACTGACCAATTACCGAGGCTCTCAAAGACCGAGCAGCCATTAAACTCCAGTCTGTGTCAAACCAATTCAACTGAGCTAAACCAGCCGGCTACACATGGGGCGATTCCGCTTCCTTGTTGACACTCTGACCGCTTTGGCCGTATTTCGGGAGGAGTATGGCATCCCAGCCGACGTCCACCTAGAGCTAGGCGAAATTGAGACAACCCCTTGGGGCAGATTAGACCAGTGCCCCTTTACCGTGCTATCCATCATTGAAGGAGGCCTCCGTTTCCGGGTCAACCCACTAATGACCGAATTCTTGCGCCGCACCGGGCTAGCACCCACTCAAGTCTCAACCAACACTTACCGAATAATCAACGGGGTCTATGAGTTGAACAACCGGCTAGGAACCAACTTAGGTTTAGCCGAGATACTCCGTCAATACACCCTTGGGCACACGGGCGACGGCTTCGCCTATTACTTAAAAATTTGACCAGGCAAAGAAAAAATAGTGACCGGCACCCCAGACAAGGACTTACACAACGACGACTTCTTCTGGGTGTCTGTTAACTATGAAACAGCCGACGTACCGGGCTGGTTCATTAGCAAGAACTTCAGCGAGACATGTAAGCCGTGCTAACTACTCGGTCAACTTATCTTCACTATTCTGTACTTGACACTTCTCTTCTTTCCTTTGCAGCGATCCAAGCCTTGCAAGCTAACTACTACAATCCCAACGAAGCAGCCATTAGGACCGTGCTCCGTTACCGCAACCGGGATTGTAACAAGCTCCTCGGCTACACTCCAACATACCGGTATTCTACTCCACGTCGGAGTAAGGTCACAGACTTTCTCCGTGCTCCATCACCTCCTCTAGATCTCACACTGCCAGACGGCCCCTTCATCCGTTTAACCGAGGCAGAAGAAATGGCAAAGAGAAGCCGTATTAAGAACCTACTCACATCAACCTCCACTGAGATACCGAGCATACTAACCCGTTCTCCTGCTGCCGGTCAATCCAGCGAGGCCGTGGTGGCGTTGGCATCTCCCGCCGCCGGGCAAGCAAGCCAAGACATCCGCCGCGCTGGGAAAAGGCCTTGCGCAGACCCATCTGCCGAGCTGGTTACAGAGCTCAATACTGAGTAACCTACTGTCACGGTCGACCCAACGCCCGCGTGGAAACTACAGCTCAAACACAGGGCAAAGAGATCCCGGCAACAGCTTTTGTCAAAGGCGACAAAGAGCATCTGCTTGCCTTTGACCTCACCAAGGCAGTCCTGCTACCGAGCAACGTGGTTGGCAGTGACCATGTGCCAGACACTCGGTTGGTGAAGTTATCAGTCAAATCCATGACCAGGGTAAGAATCTCAAACCTCCCTCAAAATTTCTCAAGTGTTTGTTTGGTTTCCTTTCTAACCAAACTTTATTCTTGTAGGCCATCCAGAAGCAGCACTTGGTCATGGAGCACATTCACCGACTCCAATAAAAGGCCAATGATTCTGCCAGCCAGGTTGCAAGCCTCCAAACCGAGCTCGGGCGGACCAAGTCTTCTCTGCAAATCGTAAATACAGATAACAACAAATTGCTCGGCCAGCTAGGTGCCACCAAGTAGGAAAGAGATGCAATAAAGGCCGAGCTGGAGGCCTTGAAACAGTCAAGGGAGAAGGAATTGGAGGACGCCAATAATGCCGGCTTCAAGGAGGCCGAGGAGAGCTACACAAAGCAGGTTCATGCCACCCAAGATATCTACTTTAAGGCGGGTTGGAAGACTGCTTGTGAATAGCTCGGCCAAGGACTTGGGACCGACATATTTGACTCTCCTCCAGCTGTCTTCTTGCCGACTTATCTTGTGCCATACGCCAATGATATCTTCAATGCATTGCAGGCTGAGGCCGAGGAAGGAGGAGAAAAAGAAGCTGAGGATAATGCTCAACAAGAGAACCGTCCAGAGCAGCCCGGCGCCCAAGACCAAACAGCAACAATCGACCTGGAGCCAACTGGGGACGAATTCACTGATCTTTCTCCCCTAGTTTAGTTTTCTTTCTCTTTTTGCCTGAACATGTAACCGAGCTAAGTGCCCCACTCTTTGTACTTATTTTTTCATCAATGAAAAAACTCAATTTCCTTCAAGTGTTTGTACGGTCTTCAAGCGAAATAACTTTAACCGAACAAAATACCTCGGCGAGACTAGCCAGCTTGAGTAACATCGCGGGTGAAGTCACGAATTCGAATAAATCATCAACTCCTTCGATCAGAATAAAACATCTCGATTTTTAACTAAAAGTTGAGCAAAGCATGAACTATATTTAACCTGAGTAAAACATCACGGTTTTAAACTAAAACTTGAGCAAATCATCAACTCATTCAACCGGAGTTAACATCTCGGTTGAGAATCTAAAAGTTGCACAAATCATCAACTCAATTAACCGGAGTAAAACATCACAGTTTTAAACTAAAAAGTTGAGCAAATCATCAACTCAATGAACTGGAGTAAATCATCTCGATTTTTAACTAAAAGTTTAGCAAACCATCAACTATATTTAACCGGAGTAAAATATCACGGTTTTAAACTAAAAGTTGAGCAAATCATCAACTCATTCAACCGGAGTTAATATCTCGGTTGAGAATCTAAAAGTTGCACAAATCATCAACTCATTGAACCAGAGTAAATCATCTCGGTTTTAATCTCAAAATCAACCGGAGTAAAACATCACGGTTGAGAATCTCAAAATTGAAAAGCAACAATCAGAATGCTAAGGCAAAGATGAGACACTTCTATATATTGACAAAAAGAATATTACATTCTGAAGTGTAAGGCAAA